TTCAAATGTTATGATCAAGTTTAAATTTATTGTGACAGGTGCACATACTGTCAAAGATGGACAGACTGACAGACAAATGAGAGTTAATGTTCCCTCCCTTTCCCCAAAACGGGGGACAATACCGGTAATGCCCTTGCTGTTCTTGAGAAGAAGATTTATGATGAAAAAAATCCCCAGCATATTTCTTAACGCAAATCAATATTGTGTTTTTATGTCATTTGTTTGTTTGTTGTTAAACATCCCTCTCAGAAATTTTTCACTCAAATGGAGACACCACTACTTGAAAAATAATCGAGGACAAGTCAGATTTGAAGTCATTACATTCATTTCAGGAGTTTTCAACCATTAAGGCGTAAAGAGATATGAACTTGATCCTTCCCTCACCCCTTCCCAGACCCATGTTTATTCATGTTTGCAGACTACTACTAATGTTTTTACATTTAAAAAATGTTAATATATACAAATACTTTAATGTGGTCCATCTCTTTGAATGATTTTCATTCCTATTTCTAGGAGGATAGGTTGATGAATAAAATGTCAAGCAATCTTATCATTGATGCACTTTTATTTAATTTAATGCAGTCATATTGTGAATATTTTCAGTTCATTAGGAGAGTGGGGATGACCTCCAGGGGTTCATAACCTTTATATATATCATTAAATTTACATACATAATAACACAAAAAACAAAATTATGTATAGTTAAATGGAAAAAGTTTCCTACTATTTAGGAGTCATATGATCATTTGTCATTACAGGGACAGGGAGTGGATTGGGAGATCCCCCCTCCCCGGAATTTGCAGGACTATAATATACATGTATACTGAAGCAAATTAAAATGACTTTGGATGCCCTCCACCCTAGAAAACAGACCCCACCATAAATTCTCTTTTTTTTTGCTTCTCAGGAAATTCTGGTCTGGAAAACAAATTCTGTATCTTGTAACTGAATGTAACGTCGATAACTCTTCCGAATGTGAAATTCGTCTTATTGCAGCATCGGAGGACCTTTGATCCTTTAAACTTTAACCTAACCAGTTGCGTTTCTATACTAAAACTTGTACTTACCGACTGTTATAGGTCCCGTAAAATTCATGATATATAATCCAATTAAAACACAAAATAATTCCCACTGACATACATGCAATGATGTGTACACCACTTAAATTGGGTACGTGACGCAAGCCCAATGTGATGCAGGTGTTCAGATACATTTATAGAACAAGAACAAATTTAAAATTATCATTTACAAAAGATGTTTTATCTTAACTTTGCCATCTAGGCCTATTTCCAAAAACAGGAAAATAAGTTGTGTTTCTGTATGTGTGTTGATGGGAGAGGGGTGGGGGTTGACTAAATTGATTGGGTATATGGCAGCTTTCAAGGTGTTTCTGCCTAGTCAAATATAAAAAAGTTTGTACATTTTGAAAAATCAGCAAAAACGCTTTACACTAATTTGAATAATATTATTTGTTGTGGATCTATATGAGAAAATAGATTTAAAAAGTTCCAATTATGGGCCAAAATTTTATATTTTTATCCCCCCCCCTTTATCAAACCTAATTTACATCATTAATTAAATTCTGTTGTTTAATTTCAGACTGGTAATGGATTAAGAATATGTAATACTTATAGGATCGAGGCCAGTGGGTCACAAGGTCACCTGAAAATATAATATACTCAATTTGATGAATACATGTGTTATGTAAATTATTGAATTATATTGACTTTTTCCTTGGAAAAGCCCAATTTGAAGGAGCTAGAGTGCATTTAGAGGCAAACACCTTAGTGCGGGTATTACTGTCTCATGACAGCATCTAGTTTTGTATGTTGTTGGTGTTCAATTATGCAATAATACTTTAACATTCAGTCGTGTAATTTGCCAGGAGAAATAAAGGCGAAGAAAGTGCATTTTTTACTACTACATGAACGTAATCTACAAATAAATAACCAAAACAAAAGCAGTGTGTGAAATAAAAAAAAAGAGAAAAAAAGAGACAATGTCTTTAGCTGCCTCCTTTACTAAAGTCAGGGAGTTCAAAGTACAAGGAATCCATAACGTCTACCATGTATCGTTAGGTCAATCAGACACACTCTGGATCAGTGACAGAGACGGTGACTTTATCCAAACAGATCTAAAGGGGAATAAATTAAAGAAGATAAAAACCTGGGGAGAGGATGAAGGTTACCACACAGTCACACAGGACGGGGATCTGATGTTTACGGACAAAGACAGAAAAGCCATCTATACGAAAGTACAGGACGATAAGATCACCGAATTTTTTAATACTGGAGACTGGGAACCTTATAGTATATATTGCTCCCATCTCAACGGGGACTTACTGGTTGGGATGGTGAGTGATGGTTACGAAGAGGCTAAAGTCAGCAGGTACAACAAGACAGGACAAGAATTACAGAACATACAGAGGGATAACAAAGGACAGGATATATATCAACTTCCACTCTATATCACAGAAAACATCAATGGAGATATCTGTGCATCAGACTTTAATAAACAGGCAGTAGTGGTGGTGAATAAATCCGGACAATACAGATTTATTTCCAAAGATCAAGGGACATTGTTCTGTCCCTATGGAATCTGCACTGATGTCCTCGGTCACATCCTGGTGTGTGATGAGATCAGTAACTCTGTTCACCTCCTTGATTAGAATGGTCAGTTTTTGTCTTTTGTATTTACAGAAAAACAATGGGTGAAGTATCCCCTTACTTTGTGTGTAAATAACGAGAACAATATCTATGTGGGGCAACGATACTCCGACACTGACAGTGTACAAGTATCTGGAATGATTCTAAAGTATCCTTCTTGAAGACATTATTTAAACAAGTATCTCAAATACTCTGATGACTAAAAGAGAAGTAAATGAAGATTGTTTACAATTACAATATTTTTCCTTAAGGTAATTGTGTAATTAAGTAATAATTTATTGATATACCATCTTCGAAATGTTAAGGTACTAGTATATAATTGTTGATTTATAAATATTTCTTACTCTTAACATTCACCTACCAGGAAACACAATTGAACAATTGTATTTAAAGCTAAAGCTTTAGTCTTATTATAATCATAGAAGCAATAAACTGCCCATGAGGAAAGCAGATAATACAATAAATTAGTGTTGGCAAATCGGACGATTTTTAGTAACCGGTTACTCGCTCAATCTTCCGATCGAGTACCCGGTTACTCGGATGATTTATTAATATGTATCTTTTATCTCATATATTACTCATCGGTTCTAATAAAACACAAAGGAATTGTGAAATAACTTTATTTAAATATAATTATAATCAAAAAAATTAATAAATCAGAAGAAAAATATTTTACAATGGCGTTCATCAGTTTTACTTTTCAACCCCCGATATATGTCACGATCAAGAAGAATAGTTATTTAGAAATTTGAAGTCACGATAAATCCAATTTACATTAATTACATTTTACAGGTATGGAATCAGATGTTCTTTTAAAATGCTTCCAAGCTATACATGTACATGTCTTTGGCGGCATCTTGTTAAATTATTTAATGAGGTAATTATAACTTGGGTCTTCAAAACTTGTATTACCTTCTGGCAATCAAAGCTATCAATTAATTGTGAAAACCAATCAATCATATTAGTGAAACCATAGATCATTAAGTCTAACGGTAAAGAAAAAATAGAGAAATGTTTATTTGTATGCTTATAAACAAATAAACATTTTATTTGTTAGTTATTTACCATATACATTTGTAAGATGCATTTTATCCGAGTAACCGATTAGCAATTTTACTAACCGATACTCGCATCGTTCGACGGTTAACCGGTTAACCGGGTACTCGTTGCCAACACTACAATAAATACATTTATCTTTTAATTTTTTTGTAATCTATACCCTATCTTTACACTGTATTTAGATGATTGGAGCTAAGAACCACAAATTTAACAGATATGTAATCGGTCACTGGTCACTATTATGTATGACTATATTCCTGTTATACATAATAGTGACCAGTTACTATATTCCTGTTAACACCAAGTCTTTATACAAATTCTTTAAAGGAAGATTCCCAAGGTACATTAGATTTGAAGTTACCCAACACTCGTTCTAGTCCTCAGACCCTTTGAAAATCTCACAAGTAAGAGCTGTACACAACTTGTAAATAGACATGGGATGGATAACACGTGTTCGTATTGGTTACTCATATATCTTTCATTTCCCTTGTTTCCAATCTATTGCAGTTAAGGGCAGATGATACAAACAATTTTTTTTCTTTGGAGAAGACTTAATACCATGTCCCAAGTTTAGGAAAGTGGATAATTCTTAGAATTTTTTTCTCCTATGAACTGGAAAATGAAATAGAGTAATATTTCAACAAAATTACAAATATGGACAAAACACACTCAGTATAGATTTACAGATAAAACAAATTTTAGAATATGTTACATTGGTACTAAAAGTGTAATATAAAATTAAGAAACGTATACCAAGCGATGTGTATTTTATCAGGAAAAGCAAAATGGTAAAAATCAGCGTATATGATATTGCTGTTTTCTTGTCATTTTTCTTTTCCTTATAAAATTCACCTGGCTTGGTATATTTCTCTAAAGTTTATATTACTCTTTTAGCACCAAAATAAGTTTGTATTTTCAGATTATCTCAGCGTCCTTCAAGTAGGCCAAGCAAGAGGCAGTCACAATAAAAATATTTTGCCATATTCTTCTAAAAAGAATAGCTAACTTAAAGCTTAAATTTGTGTAAATTTATGACACTCTTTAAAATTTATTGTATGGAGTACTCTTAGAATGCGTTGCCAAAGATCTCATGTCTGTTGGTTAGATCAATAAATTTAATTACTAAACTTATAAAATTATTTACAAAAAGTGCTCTTTTTATTCAATGCAAAATATTTATTTCTAAAAATGCCACCAATAAGACTTTAAAATCAAATAGTCATCTGCCTTCATAGTAAACGATAAGGTATTTTATCAAGTTGTTGACCAATAATTAAGGTAGGATTCTTCTCTGGTTTCTGACTAGATAAAACATTCAAAGTATATTTGCTTATATGTCTTATATATTTAGGAGCAAGGGATTTAAAAGATCATATTTTTCTTCCTCATCACAATTGTACAACTTTAAATAGAAATGGTAAACTGCGTTTGAAAACTAGCAGGGACTATATTTTGGCGGAATGGTGGCGTATGAATATGTCTTCTTTTCTGCCTCTCAAAATTACAATAGAACAATGAATTTAGTTATAATTTGTACACAATCGAAGACTTGGAGAAATTTTCAAATGTAAGTTAAATTAATAATGAGGGACTAAACTTTCAAAATATATCAAATAAATATGATTTTCCAAACAAACTAGAACTTTGTTAGCTTTTAAACGCTTCCTATCAAAGTGCAGATTTGAGCCAAAAATCCATAAAAAGTATTTTTTCTCTCTTAGTAAACGATCAAAACTTTTTGTTTTTGTATCATTTTGTACATTTATAAGACTACTTTACTAAATGTGAAAATAAGAAAAAGTTAAATATAGGAAGCATATGAAAATAACTAATATATCCTAAAAAATGAAGAAAAACAGAGAAAATTCGGATTAGCCAATATCCAGTTAAGTTAAATTATTTATGTAAATTTGGTAATATCATGCTATAGACCCGATATAGTAATATGTTTTTATGCAAAAAGAACAATCTTTAAACTTTTGAAATAGAAGTAGGTATCACATGATTGGCAACAGTATTTTTTTATTCTTAATGTCAAGGAAAAAGATAATGACCTTGACTTGACCTTGCCTCTAATATAAAAAGGTCAAATTGAATCTCAGTGATATCATCACTTAGTGTTATTGTATTCTTGATTCTGTGAAAATTTCATTAATTTTTAAATACTAGAAATATGAGTAGAATCCAACCTTAAATAAACAGTTTAAAAAGCTAATCGTTCATAGTCCAATGAGGTAAATAATCCAGTACAACGTTAGCATTATCAGTTTGTAGTTTGAAGGGGGAGGATACATATCTTCTTTATTACTTTTTAGATTTTTTCCTGACTGAATACTGGCAATCTAAAGTAAGTACTGTATCTACAAAATATATTATAATGTCATCCTTGTCAAAAGCATAATATAAATTATGTGTATATTATATTCTTCTGGAAGAAAGTATGCTATCCATCCGAGGTCTATCACAACAGAAAAATTTGATACAATCATTAATTTTGAATATAACAGTGAACTAGGAGCTGGTCTAGGAGGAATAATCCTTTTATAGGCATGGTAAGAAAATATGGACAAAATTCTGGAAAATTCACAGTATTTTAACCAAAACGGATTAAAAATGCTGGTTAAAATGCCCTTAATTTCAGCCCAAGTATCTGAAATGCGTTTTGTTTGCAAATGGTTCAGTTTTCAGTGCAATTTTCACAGAAAATGAAATTGAGTTGAAATAGAATTTATTAATTCCATTTAACCAGATCAAGGCTGATTTATGCAAACTTCATCCAATTTACTACAAAACTGCTTTTATTTAAACGGCATCTGTATATTTGCGGATACCTTAGATTTGAAAGTGGTCCCGTTCAAATTTCCGGGATTTAAGGCTTTAACTTGTTCTTTTTCAATCACATTGTCTGTAATTTTAGCAAATATGTAGAAAAAAATAAATAGACATAAATATCAAAATCATATGCTTGCACATTAATCATTGATGAATTTAGCGACATATTGTAATGTAAAGCTTAAAATGGGTAACCAAAATGGTTCCAAATGACGCACTTAAGTACACCCATTCTTTCTCATTGTTTAGAGCACCATTGTTTACTTTGTTTGACTTTTGACTTCAGCAAGGATTATCCTCAGTTTTCCAGGGTCCCTTTTTATGCGCCCGAATCGATAGACCCGGGGCGTATATTGATTTTTAGATGTGTGACTTATATTGTAAAACACCCTGTAAACAGACCTGCAGCCATAATACAACATTTGTACAATACGACAGACAGAATAATATATAAAGCCATTTTTTAAGGATTCGTGGAAGGATTGATTTCAAGACTCATGAATCAGACAAACAGAACATACATTTACATGCTGATTAATCATGTTAATTCATTTTTTAAAATTTGGCTTGTATTTTTTTTTAGATGTCTCTTCCTCCGCTTGAGATAAAAACACCTCCCCCGCTTGAGATAAAAATACCAGGCACTGCTCAACACTTTCTAGAGTGTGGTTTTGAAGATTGTGAGAGAAATTGTGAATTTTACTGCAATTCCTGCCATCAACAGATGTGTAAATCATGCAGAGACCAACATCTAAAGATTCCAGAAAACAAAAACCATGAAGTGGTCCTTTACCAGCAACGAAGACGACAACTTCCTATGAAAAAATGCAGGATCCACTTCACCAAAGAAATGGATATTCTATGTCAAGAATGTAACATTCCTATATGTTCAAAGTGCTCAACAATGCAGGAGCACAGCACTCTAAAAAAAGTTTTACTTGTTGTTTTTAAAATAAGATATTAGATTAAGAAAAACTAGTAATTATTAGTAATCCATTTAGTCAGAATAGCAAGTAAATGACTATCATGGTTAGTAATTGTAAACATAATTAGTAATAAGGATGAATTCATTTACTTATAAAATGATTTACTAAGTATCAATAGAATTACTTAAATTATAGGAATTGTATTACTTAAAGTTAGTAAATGAACTACTCATTTTTGTTAAATTATTATTACTTAATTTAGAGATAATATGCTTTCTATTTACTAAATTTTATGAATTATTACTAAGTAAATGTAATTCTGATATTAATTAAAATCTAGAATATTATACTCAAAAGAATACTAAGTAAATGAAATACTTATCATATTTACTAAAATCGACATTATTTACTAGAAACACTGCAAGGTACCGACCCTCTGACATGTGAGTACTACTCACAGTTTTCTTTATCAGAGTTCCCTAATTGGGCCCTCTGAATAGTTTAATAGAAGAAATCTACTCATGATGGAAACAATTATACTTTCTATTTCTTTTGCCAATTTCTTTGTAATTGTTTTATTATATATAACAATAAAACATTTGATTCCAACTTCGAAAGCCTTAAAAATTGAATAAGTTGTATCTTTTTAAGGACCATTTTAAAAATGGTTAAACATTTCAAGTACTTAATGTCGCATTTTTATTAGTGTGACTTTTTTTTCACATGAAGGAATATTTAGAAGAAAGATAACTCCTCCTCACAGACAATTAGTGATTAGACTACCATATTTAAGTAATTACTGATCTGAATTCTAGATTTAGTAAATAAATTTTTGTTTTAAGTAAATCAATTAAATACAATTCAAACGAGATGTGTTTGTGAAACACCTATGCCCCTGTATGGCAACATTTCAAAGGTTAAACTTTTCTTAAATGCAAATTTAAATTATTGGGATTTCTTGATATCTCCACGGTAAAAAGGTCAAGGTTATTGGTATCTAATGAAAGGTCTTGCCAAAAAAAATACATATGTGAAATATGGAAACACTTGCCTTAACCCTTCAGAAGTTATGGTCAAGGTTACCAATTTTGAAATGTAGGTCAAACGCCAAGGTCAAAGACAAAGGGACAGATTTGGTGGTACCCAAAGAATGGTCTTGTCACAAGGATGAACTATGTAAAGTATGAATGCACTAACCCTAATCCTTTTAAAGTTAGAGTCAAGGTTTGCTTTTTAAAAGTGGGTCAAACTCCAAGGTCAAGGTCAAAGGGTCAAAGTTCTTGGTATCCTATGAATGGTCTTCTCAAAATGATTACATATATGTAAGTATGAAAGCACTATTCCTTACCGTTCAAACGTTATGGCCAAGGTTAAAGTTTTTTTCACAAGGATGGAAATCCCCATGGTCAAGGTCAAAATTTCATAGTTGTTGGTATTCAATGAAAGTTCTTTCAACAAAAAATATATATGTGAAGTATACATGTCCTGGTATTTACTGTTCAAAAGATTTGGATAAAGAATAAGTTTGGATTTTTTGTGTATGTGAGTCAAACTTCAAGGTCAAGGTCAAATTTGGTGATACTCAAAGAAAGGTCTTGTCACAAGGAATACACGTGTGAAATATGAAAGTCATAGCTCCGCTAAATCAAAAGTTATGGGCAAGGTAAAAGTTTCTGTGGATAAACAGACAAACAGGGAGACAGATAGACAGACAGCTAGACAGACAGACGGACACGACAAAAACTATATACGCCCGAAACTTTGTTTAAGGGGGCATTAAAATATTAATTATATAGTAAATAGTGGTAAAATGTAAGTAAAGACCAAGTAATGTTATTACTTATATACACAAATTTAAGTAAATATAAATTACTAAGTAAAACTTTTTAGTGTGTAAGTGAAACAATTCTTTAAAATACAAAAATCAAGTAAAACATTTGAATCTAGTAAATGACATATATTTCAGTAATTGATTTAAAATTTTAAGTAAATGCTTAGTAATTATCTATTACTTATCTTTGTTATTTCAAGTAAAAAATGACTACTAAGTAAAACTTTTTTAAGAGTGAGGGGTCATCAATTTATTGATTTAGAAACTATCTACACAGAGAAATTTACTCTTTGTCAAAAGGAACTCTCTAAAATCCATAATTACTTTTTTCCTACATCACAGGATTTACACAGAGAAATTCAGAAAGATGTAGCAGAAGTTAAACAGATCATGGACAGCATACGGACATCCATGAAAGCCGAAGCCGAGTCTCTCAAAAACATGGTGGACACAGTGCTCTTAGAAAATATGGAAGAATTACACCGAAAAGAGAAGTCATTACTGAAGAAATTAAGGAGGCAAAAGAAGACATTTGATGATTATATTGCCTATCTCAGTGACCTTGTTAAAGAGTTCCAGAGTTACCTGTCCTCTACTGAGCTCACTAACTTCACAACTAAACTTCCAGACAACTTACAAATAAAATCCATACCAGAAACCACCAAACCTGTCACACCAGAATTTTCTTCTGCTCAATACAACAAAAATGATATTGCTAAATTACTAGGGAAATTAATTAAATCAGATAAAAGGGCAGAACTAAGAAGAGTAAAGCCAATGGAAATTCATCCTATTGCTACATCAATGAAATCTACAAGTGAACAGACAAAACAAGATAAACACGTGAAGTCTGACAAGAAACAAACATTGTCTCTATCTGCCTCTGTCACCAAGGTCAGGGAGTTCTATGTACCAGGTGTAATAATGCATTCCATGTTTCAAAAGATCAATCAGACAGACTCTTGATCAGTGACATTGAGGGTAATCTTGTTCCAAACAGATCTACAGGGGAATGTGATACAGAAGATAGAAACCAGTGGTAGGCGTGGTTACCACACGGTGACACAGGACAGGGATCTGACCTTCACAGACAAAGACAAGAAAGCCATCAATAGGATAACACAGGATAATAATATCACTGAATTCATTAAAACTGGAGACTGGACACCAGTCAGCATACACTCATCCCACATCAACGGGGACTTACTGGTGGGGATGTGGACAAGTGGAAAGGCTAAAGTCACCCGGTACAACAAGACAGGAAAAGAACTACAGAACATACAGAGGGATAACAAAGGAGAGGAACTGTATAGTTATCCATACTAGTTAATAAAAACCTCAATGGAGATATCTGTACATCGGACTTTAGTAAGGGAGTAGTGGTAGTAAATAAATCAGGACACCACAGGTTCTCCTACACAGGTCAGAAGTCAAAGTTCGAACCCTATGGAATCTGTACTGATGTCCTCGGTCACATCCTAGTGTGTGATGGACATTATAACAGTAACACTGTTCACCTCCTTAATCAGGATGGTCAGATCTTGTCTCTATTACTCACACCACAACAAGGGGTAGATCGTCCCCGTGCTGTGTGTGTGGATGATGAAAACAATCTCTATGTGGGACAAAAAGACACCAATACACTGACAGTGTACAAGTATCTACAGTGATTATTATTTCGTTAGAAATATAAACACTGGAATGATATACACATATACAGTTATGACTCGAAAATGAAGTTCTAGTGATTTTATATACAGAAATTACTGTAGAATTTAAAGTCATATATGGCTTATTTTTGATAAGTTCAGACTAACTACACTGCACCCTAATTTCAGGGTACTTGCGTGTAGTTAGGCTGACCCACCATTTGACATAAAAAAGAATAAATTGTAATCTGCACTGTATGACAAAATTTTAAATAAATCCATGAATTCTAAACATTATGTTAGACCAAGATAGAGTAATTGAAAACTTTATTTGTTTGTATTTTCTCCATTTGAATAATCAAAAGCAATTTTTCTTTGTCATTAGTTCACTGTCTTCAAAGATTTTTCCTGGATAACGAAGGCACGCTCCCTATCTAGAAATGGATTAGTTTATTTCAAAATAGCCTCCTTTACACTATATAATTTTCTCAAAGTCCAAAAAACATTTTTCATCAGTGTATAGAGGGTTCTTAAATCAATTGCATTTCATGGATATATCCGAGATTAAAAGCAAAAATCGATGTTTTTTTTCGACTCGGAATTAAATATCAGACACAGTTTGAAGTCAGTTTGATTATAGGAACGTGTATATAGATATTTAAGTAATTAAGTTTCAAATCGGTGAAAATTTAATTTGATGTAAATTAGCAAATATCATGTAAATCGACACTTTATCTCGTATTTTTATTTTTTAGCCCAGATACGCCATAAACATGTAAGAGGAAAGTTAACATATAAATTTAAGGTTCACGAAGACAGAAGTATCTTTAAAACACACAAATGTAACACAAGGCTGATCATTCGTCAAAAAAAATTAAATTACTGAAGATCTTTCATCCCAAAATCGTTTTTACCCCAGATACGCCGTCCTGATCTGAACAAGGCGCTTCTGCCATTACTATTATCACAGGCACCTGAAGTGTAGAACCAATTCCCCCCTTTTTTTTAATTAAAAAAAATATTAAGGCCATTCTTTAAAGGTGAGATTAAGTACGATCTGCTTGCATAGAACAAAATATGGATGTGTTTGACGGGGAAAAATTAAATACACTTTTTTAAAGGGGGGTATTGATCCACACTTCAGGTGCCTGTTACACGATACGATTTAAGCTCGGGTTTGAAAGGCACGGAAAAAACATGGGCTCGTTCTACCTTTTGTTTTTCTTCAATATTCAAGAAAGTTTGTAGGGAGAGGCCTAGGATTACTCATAAAACATATTTAATATTTTATCAGTGTTAAGGATTTTAGCCACATGTTCTACTATTCGGCAATATGTTTGTGGTTATGTGTTTTCATACATTGGTAAGTTTTATGAGTTTGCTTACAATGTAGCCCTTCCACAGGTAAAGATTACAGGTGTGTCGCGACCGGGGAGACGATGTGTTGTGACAATGCTTAATACGTATAGTGTCTTTCCAGGCTGTAAAAGTCATTTCATCTGATAAGGCTGATAACTATAGGTATATACTTAATTTTTTTTGGTAAAAATGATAATAAAAACGTGCAATACCCAGGTTTAAATATTTCTAGCCCTCATTAGGCTCTCTATTAGAATAATTAGATTAGAATTTTATGATATTTTTGTCTAAATCATGTAAATCACATGTGTCCCTAACATTTTCCCTTACATATCATTTAACTTATGTACAATCACAATTATTTACATTCAATTGAACTTAAATTTTCCCTTCAGAATCTCAATCCAGGGCTTGAAATGTCATTTTCTTTCTAAAACCTGGTAGAGAAATACCTGAGTCTCAGAGTCAGAATTGAATGGTGTTGATTCAAATACAAATCCTTCATTTTTTCTCATTATCTTATTATCTATAGATCAAGTTTGTTTTATGTGGATCTGTCTTTTAAACGACTTTTGACAATTGAGTGGTTCAGTTGCACTTGACTTGTGATTCAATGGGGTGGGATGGGGGTCTGGGTTTGAATCCTGGTTAACTGTAAGTACCCTACAAGTGAGTCATTAGGGATAAAGACCTTCAAGGTGGAAGGAGAGA